ATAATAACAAAAATAGTAATAATAATTTTGACGCTACAAATAATATGCCGTATTTGTGGCTAGTCTCAGCTTCCTTCGGTGAACAGTCTCGGTGAACAGCTGCAACGGAGGCCCGATTAAGGGTCATTCAAAAAACGTTCAGTGCAATGGCGTGGTGAGTTCCTTCCTGGACGGCTGGGCACCGGCAGACCCTGCGGCGCAGCGACGGTGGGGGAGGCTGGCACGCCCCACGCGGTCCTCGGCTCGATACAGCCGCCTGTGGCGGTGTTGCGTGATTACAACAGCCAACGACCCGCGTCGGTCTTCACTCTCGTTCACCGAGGTTCACACAGGATGAAGACGTACGGGCTCAGGACCCTCTAAGCGTCGGCGATTTGGCATTAACGTGACGATAGGCTGAGTTCGATTCCCGAATCAGGCAGAATCTTTGAAAATACACCTTTTTCGAAAACAACCGTTGGACCGACGCCCAAGTGCGCGTTACGAATCGTTGGCATGTAATTTTATGGGAGGGGGGTTCGCACTGTCACCCTATCGCACTTGCGTCTATGAAAAATCGCCGTGTCTTTTAGAGTACCCCACCCGCGTCCCTTTTAAGAATAAGCTATGGCCTTGACCACCGCGCGGTATCGAGTGCTACCGTACTTCGCGACCGCTGCGTCGCGTCGTCTTTTGGCCCTTCCCTTGCTGTTAATAGAGGAAATATTTTTCGATCGCTTGCACCAGGCGGGGCGGGCATTTTATTGATTCTGTAGAAACTTTTTGGCGGCGCCTCGTCGCGATATGGGTACGCTATGACCTGCACCCCTGGTTCGTGTTGCAAAAAACACGAACTGTTGTTGTCTATTTGTTGCACGGCTCCACAGGCCGCAGGAGGTCATAAAATATCCGCCTCTCTATCGTCAAGACGGTCGCAGTCGCGGGAGAGAGAGTAGGCCGGGGCGGCGCAGGTCAGGAAGCGCGGATGCGTTAAACAGGTCCGTTCACGGAGGGTGTACAATAATGATTTTGTTCATCAGAGTAAATATGAACAGTACAAATACTATGGCAAATATGTGCTATCACTGAATCAATAGTGACAATCCAACACTCGCACAAATTTGTCAACGAATGACCAGATGTGCCGAGTTGAGGCAAAGAAGAATGTCAGGGTAAATTATTTTCTCTTGTAATGACTACTATACCACTGGAGATCATGGAAGTTATGAGTAAGCTTCCTGCGACGCTCAAGGGAGTTCAATTATCGGGCATAGCTTTCAGAAGTCCAGGATGCATGACGAATTGATCGTCAGCGTAGTAAAATCTGAATCGTTCTGCTTGAACACTCATGAATGCAAGTAGAGCACAACAGTTTTGTACAGTGGAACAGAAACGTAGAGACAGCTAAAATGATTCATCCAACTCCAGCATTCCCGAAAAGGCAAACTGTATGCAGTATCATAGAAGATAACTAGTATACTAGCTACCCATTGAGAGACACGCAAAATCTGGTATTGGTAAAGCAGGGCAAAGTTAGTTATCCAACCCATCATCATATTACAGATTTCCATCTAGGAACAGGATCAAAGGCAAGAGTGTAATGTTGGAAAACACATGTTTACGATGAGATAATGCAGCAATATCTTTGGAAAAGTGTGGTCATTGCCCATAGCATAGGAAAAGGGTCTCCATGTGTTTCAATTATCTAGGGTACAAGACGCAATCTGCAAGAAGGTCGATCTTGCAGTGACGGCCATAAAGGAAAGAAATATAAGCAGTGAACCGGAGAAGTGTGCCTCGCTTCGAGAATCTGCTAATGATATCCCACTTGTTAGCAGTGGCGGCTCGTGCCGATTTGTGTTACAAACAAAAAATGGTTATTATACCTTTCTATACATGTAAGGATATTTGTGTCATACATTATTACTTTCGGAAGTCATAATATCACCACAATTTTCTTACATCAACTGCAAATCAGATACAAGAAATTAAACCGCACGTTTACTGCGAACCTGATCGTTTACACAACCTTGCTATACCTTCGACTTCAACGTTGGAAGATAACCCAGAGACGAAGATAAACCAGAGGCTGTCAGGGTCGAGGATTTAGGGCTTCGCTAGGGGATGTCTTCATGATGTTAATCAACGTCAACAGACGCTTCGACAAGGTTGTCAACGCGCCCGACAGACATGTACTCGTATAGCCTCCAGCGAGTTCAAAGTTTGTTGTTCCAGCTTCTCCGCAAGGTGCCTCTGAAACTTTTCTGCAAATACTACAAACTGTGATATTATGACAGATGAAAATCGTATTTTAGTTTTCTTGTAAGTTTGCATGCTCTTTATTTTTTATTTTAAATAATGAGGAAATTATGAGGAAACGGGAATGTCACGAAGAAAAACGTGATGTTTTAGGTACAGTATATTTCTTAAACATACGTATGAATTCATTGTACCCCAGTCTCAGCATCCGCGTCCTCCCCCTAATGCCATTACTCTGTAATCCACCAACTTTTGAGGGCACACGCCGCCACTGCTTGAGTCTCTTTTATGTCCATATGGCCAAAGGATGTTGATGCTCAAGATCTTTAGATCCATTGAAAGGATGGACCAGCTCTTAAATCGGGTTTCTATCGCAAATTTTCTAAGTTGCAAAGCGGCTTTGCTGCTGATGACTCTTGCCTCAAAATATTCTGGTTCTTTGAAGGCTCTACTAATGTTTTGGAAGACGAGAGCAAAACGGATAGTACCATACTTGACCACTACTCGAAAAGATTAACCACATCCCTGTAGGTAAGGTTAGGGGCAATTCCCAAACCAGAAATTTAGACGTTCTTGTTCATCCTTAAATCCATCCATCATGAGGTGTAGAGGAAACTCCTTATCAAATACGCGCTCCTGGTTGGAAATGTCAGCAACTTACTCCCCGTAACCTCTTCGTAATTTTTTAAGCCACACAGTTCCTAGATGATAGAATCTTATCATTGATGAGATATGGTGATGGAAACGCTTAAAGCGTTCAGCCTTTTTTCACTTGAGAGACCCTTTTCTATTGCCAAATAGTGGTCTGGGGAATGTCGGCCAGCACTGCAAGGCAGGTTGAAGTATACCTGTAGATTAAATGCTTATTTTGTGTTCCGAGACGCGGCTCTGTGTATGTCATTAATCTCGTGTTGCTTATGTTATATCTAGGGAGGTGTCTGCATTTCTCCCCCGTTAGAATGTGAGATCGGGCGTTAGCCTGCACGTAAGCTTACATGGGTTTCTCCTCCAGATATCTCTGCCAGCAGGGCACCTCCCCACACGGGACAAACTCTAAAACGCAACAGCACTCTAATGTGCTAATAATGTACATGTTAGTGTGCTTGTGTGAGGGGAGAGGGATTAAGGGCTAAGGATTAAGAACAACAGGTTGTACATGGTCTGTGTTCTGCTTGTTGGCTTACTCCTCTGGCATACACCTGGTTTTGATCGTAGAAACCACGGAAAACTACCGTTCAGAAGACCCAGTATCTAGAATTATCCCCCAGATTCCGGCTGAATTCGACCTAGATATCTTGGTAGTCTCACAGATCCACCGCCATCAGGACTTGAACCCACTAGAACCTCACTTAGAGACATTGCAATAGCAACTGTTGTTGCTCAGAGCTTTCTCAGCGAGACCCATCTGTGGAGGATGAAACCTTGAAATAATCATTCTCTGCAATTGCTACCAAACATATCTCATTTTCTTATCAAGATATCATCTCCAAAGAGAAATCTATATAGGAATAACTGTGAAGAATGAAGCCTACTGAGGGTGAATTTCTCCCCTCACCATCAGTCAAGTATTTTAATAATCTAATAGATACAAGGCACACACGGTGCCTCAAGCGACAACCAGAAAGCTGCAGATCCTGAATTCTCGATCTGAGTGGTATATCATATCAAAATCTCTTGAAACACTACTAAATTTTTGAAAAATATCATAAAAAAATGTCAAAGATAATATGCCAAATTTTTCAATTGTGAGTTTGAATTTCATTACCTTTATTTTAAAAAAATAATCAAGGAATCATAGATATCCATTTACTATTTTCTATCATTAATATTTCAGAACTTTATGTCAGTGGTGGCTGGTGCCTCAACAAAC